GGGGTGGGATTAATTTATGGCTAGATTTTGTATAACCAGTTTTGGGAGGTGCATTGTCAAGGTTGACTGATTTCTGGATATTTTTGGGGGGTCAAATGACGACGAGAAGTCAGTTGATTGTAATTTTGGGGAGTTTTTCCCAAAAAGTTGGCAATTTTTTTTTATAAAATAACAACAAAAAAAAACAAAGCACTCAGATGGGGAGTGTTCAATGGGGAATTAATTGTATGCGTTCCTTCAACCATTTTAAAATGTGAAGCTCTAGAAAGCGGTTTTCGGTCGGCCATATTGAATGCACGGCCATCATGAGCGAGTCATAAAAACCGCATGCGTCACGAGGGGGAAAGCAGCTTGTTGGCCGGGCAGGTCAGCAGGCATCCGAAAGCACCAAAATATGGCTGAAAAAAAAGGAATTTGCTTGAACAACAAAAAATTTCGGACTTCAAAGTAGAATTTTTCAAGGGCCGCCCCCCAGGCCTTTTTTGTTTTTCAGCCTTGGTTTATTTTTGTCTTGGGAGTGTTCTAGAAGAACCCACGGGCACATCATTAAGATTGTATCTCTAGAGAATGTTCCGCGCGTACATGTGCTAGGCAAGCACGGCGACAGTGAACGGCCCTCTTTTTTTAAACTCAATTTACCCCAATTTTTTCAATTTTGCAAGTCAGAATTTTTGATCGGCCTCCCGAGATATAAAGTGAAACCCCAAAATCGATTCAAGCGTCTGAACGCCAAATGGGTACATGGTCAACTGAAGCGGTTACCGAACCGGGCTAACCGCAACTTTTTAGCTTAGCGTGGGGTAGGGAAGGATTGGAACATTGTTCTGTGCAGTGGCGTAACCCAGGTGGCCGCTATGGGGCCCGGGCACAGGGGGGGCAAGGCCAGGGCATCCCTCTCATGCCGTGTGGGGGCCAGCCTGGGTCGATATGGCATGTAAGGGCGCTGGCTGTCGCTGACGCAGCTCGGCAGCGGCTGTGAAGATCACTGATTTCCCATCAGAGCCGCCGCGGAGCTGTATCAGTGACAACCAGCAGCTGCGGCAGAAGATGCCGGCGTTCGCAGTGAAGGAGGAGGCGGGGCCCGCCTAAGAGCAACCCTGCCTCCTCCTACGTCACTGGCTAGCGACCGAAGAGGAGGCGGGGCCCGGCGACCACGGAGGCGGACAGCGCTGACAGGTAAGAGGTGTGCAGCCCATCTGAGACCCTGCAGAGCCCACCATGCTTTCTCGCCACCTAGTCACGGCGCCCGGCTTCCTGATTGGCCAGAAAGCCGGCTCCATGCTTCCTCGTCACCTAGTGATTAGAAGCATGGGGACGGCTTCCCTGCTAATCAGGAAGCCGGGAGGCGAGTCATTACACCACCGCCTGTCTTCCTTGATGGGACTTCTGGTATCGGTGACTACCGGAAAAAAAAAAATAACGATTCTCGTACTCGATACCGAAATACCGGCACCGGTGCATCCCTAGTACGATACGTTGGGGCGCCATTCACATTGGATGTCACCGCAATACAAGTCACCAAGGCTCTTGGCGCCCATTGGTGCAACACGCAAGCGTGAATGGGCCCTCAAAATGCTTCCTTAGATACCCAATGCTTCCTGTCATGGGTGGGGGGGACCCTCAACTCAGCGTATGGTTCCTCAGAGGCCAATCACCAGGCCACGAACACTGTCACATGGGGGTAGGGAAGGTCTATAGCCCCGTCCAGTCCCGAACACTGTCACATGGGGGTAGGGAAGGTCCATAGCCCCGTCCAGGCCCGAACACTGTCACATGGGGGTAGGGAAGGTCTATAGCCCCGTCCAGGCCCGAACACTGTCACATGGGGGTAGGAAAGGTTTATAGACCCCGTCCAGGCCCGAACACTGTCACATGGGGGTAGGGAAGGTCTATAGACCCCGTCCAGGCCCGAACACTGTCACATGGGGGTAGGGAAGGTCCATAGCCCCGTCCAGGCCCGAACACTGTCACATGGGGGTAGGGAAGGTCTATAGCCCCGTCCAGGCCCGAACACTGTCACATGGGGGTAGGAAAGGTCTATAGACCCCGTCCAGGCCCGAACACTGTCACATGGGGGTAGGAAAGGTCTATAGACCCCGTTCAGGCCAGAACACTGTCACATGGGGGTAGGAAAGATCTCTAGACCCCGTTTAGGCCCGAACACTGTCACATGGGGGTAGGAAAGGTCTATAGACCCCGTCCAGGCCCGAACACTGTCACATGGGGGTAGGAAAGGTCTATAGACCCCGTCCAGGCCCGAACACGGTCACATGGGGGTAGGGAAGGTCTATAGACCCCGGGCCTGGACGTCCAGGCCTGAACACTGTCACATGGGGGTAGGGAAGGTCTATAGCCCCGTCCAGGCCCGAACACTGTCACATGGGGGTAGGGAAGGTCCATAGCCCCGTCCAGGCCCGAACACTGTCACATGGGGGTAGGAAAGGTCTATAGACCCCGTTCAGGCCCGAACACTGTCACATGGGGGTAGGAAAGGGTTATAGACCCCGTCCAGGCCCGAACACTGTCACATGGGGGTAGGGAAGGTCTATAGACCCCGTTGAAGCTCCATCCAGGCCAACTTGGAGCTTCTAGAGACCATTGCTCCTAGCAGCCATATCAGATGCTCCCAACCCACCCTAAAAAGGAAACGGACCGGTTCCCTTTAGACACTTTGATCCACGGGGGCCCCTCGTGATGCTTCATTTTTGTATTATTAGTCCGGCTTCAGACATTTTATACATTTTTGTTCTATGTAAGCGTGTAGCTGAAGAATGTAGTACTGCTAGCTCACCATGCTTTCTGCCCCGAGGTAGAAACTTCTCACGTTGCTCTCATTTTTCTAGCGTCCTTCTGTATTTATTTGTCGATTTATGTTTTTTTGTTTTGTTTTTTTTAAATAAAGAGAACAATTGTCAAAATCCGGCTTTGTGGTTTCAATGGTGTCGAGCGGGGAGTGGGAAACCTGCCGGGAAAAGGGGGCGGGGAATAGCGGGAAGCTTTGGAGCGGAGCCAATTACGGTCCCAGTTACGTCCATGGAAGTGGTTTTGGGCCATTGGATTTATAAGGGATTCTTCCGGCAAGTTCCACCGGGAGGTAGCAAGGGGCACGTCAGTGATAGGTGGAGTCTGGTGGGCTGTGGTGGCCCTTTGGACCCTCGGCCATATATCCTGGCTCCAGGCCCCAAGGGAGTTTTGGCCCTTTGGCTTTTCATAGGACCCACCAGTGAGATCCCCCGGCCATATATCCTGGCTCCAGTCCACCTGGGACTTTTGGCCCTTTGGCTTTTCATAGGACCCACCAGTGAGATCCCCCCGGCCATATATCCTGGCTCCAGTCCACCAGGGAGTTTTGGCCCTTTGGCTTTTTCATAGGACCCACCAGTGAGATCCCCCCGCCATATATCCTGGCTCCAGTCCACCTGGGACTTCTGGCCCTTTGGCTTTTCATAGGACCCACCAGTGAGATCCCCCCGGCCATATATCCTGGCTCCAGTCCACCAGGGAGTTTTGGCCCTTTGGCTTTTTCATAGGACCCACCAGTGAGATCCCCCCGCCATATATCCTGGCTCCAGTCCACCTGGGACTTCTGGCCCTTTGGCTTTTCATAGGACCCACCAGTGAGATCCCCCCGGCCATATATCCTGGCTCCAGTCCACCAGGGAGTTTTGGCCCTTTGGCTTTTTCATAGGACCCACCAGTGAGATCCCCCCGCCATATATCCTGGCTCCAGTCCACCTGGGACTTCTGGCCCTTTGGCTTTTCATAGGACCCACCAGTGAGATCCCCCCGGCCATATATCCTGGCTCCAGTCCACCAGGGAGTTTTGGCCCTTTGGCTTTTTCATAGGACCCACCAGTGAGATCCCCCCCGCCATATATCCTGGCTCCAGTCCACCTGGGACTTCTGGCCCTTTGGCTTTTCATAGGACCCACCAGTGAGATCCCCCCGGCCATATATCCTGGCTCCAGTCCACCAGGGAGTTTTGGCCCTTTGGCTTTTTCATAGGACCCACCAGTGAGATCCCCCC